CCTTCCTTCCTTCCTTCCTTCCTTCCTTCCTTCCTTCCGCGCGTTCCCCTCGGGCGCAGCGGTGCAGCGTTTCACGCACTGCGTTCCCAACACTCTTCCAGGTATCCACATCGCCAAGAGCAAAGGAGCCCGCTACCGGCTTGGTCCAGAGCTCGAAATCTGGTAAGGGCGCTTTGCTGGCGCTGGGTTTGGTGCGATTCCAGTTAATTGTGGAAGRACGGTCTGGAAGAGCATCAGCCCCGTGCTGCTGCAATGCCCAAAGCCATACTCAGAGCATGCGGCTGTTGGTGCAAAAACACCCCTTATAGTTGTGAGCACAGGATCGGTTCTTTTGGAAACCTGACTGGTGGTGATAATTTYTGACCTGCTTCAGAGAGTTTTCCTTCAGGGAAACTGTAGTGCTTTGATTTTTGCCTGGGCCGAGGCTGCTGCCTTTGAAATGAGTATCATGGAACAATACAASAGGCTGGAAAGTTTTAAATGCAAGTAGGGATGTAATTTAAGTAGGGATGATGTTGATAGCCCTGCTTCTTCATTTTCTATATAAAATATAGAAAAATAATCCCTCTCTGAAGTAGTTTTGGTTCTTTGGCTCTGGTGCTTAGAGCCAAAGATCTTAGCTGAAGTTTTGATTTCTTCCTGTTTTTATATGCAGTGGTTATGGCTGCTCAGACCACTATTATGAGCCAGACACACTCTTGCATTCGTTTCAAGTCCTGGAAAAGCTCTTGGAGTCTCCAGCTACTCAAGATATTATCTGTGATGTGGGAATGTAAGTTGTTTTTTTTTTTTTTTGCATACCTGTGATAAAGGGGTAAGTCCTTAGGGAATGCTGCTTGTGCCATCCTCTGCATAGTGAGGGCTCTGCACCAAACTTTCAAACACTTTTTAGGAACTAAACTACTTTTCCCCTTTTAATTGCCATGACTAGGACTGCAACATGCAGAACACTTTGGGAAAGATAACCCTTTTGAGAGATTGCTGATGGCTGAGCCCTTCAAGAGAGAAGTAGGACAATTACAGTTATATATTGGAAACCTTGGTGGCTGKGCCCTATTGCCACAGGTCAGAATTTGTGTGAGGTGTAACTCAAAGGGCTTTATCAATTAACTGTCTTTTGGGAATGTGGGGGCTGCTTTGACTGACAGATATCTTTAAAGCAAAGTGTATGTCAAAATTGCTGAAGCCATTCTAAGCCTGCTGCTAGTGAAGAGTGGTAAATTATGTCTGTAAAATTAATTATTAGTATTGTGTAAAGCTGGTTTGATTTTGAACTCGGGCTGCCAGTATCACAGGAGGTCATGTGTGATTAAATACCTTGACCCTGCCATGGGGAATCTTCTGATCTGCTCATGTTCCTAAGGTTCAGGTAGCAGTTGATGTATCTGACACTTGACAGCACAGTCAGTAACACTGACTACTCAAACAACTACTTCAAAAAATTAGAAGCTAAAACTAGATAYACTGTTTTGCTTGAGTCCCTCAAGCGATGTCTTAAAATAGTTTTTGTGAAATGTTATGAAATAGATTCTGTAGATTTTTATAATTTTATTTAGTGATTGTAGTCACTGCTAACTTTGCTTCTTATTTTCACAGGCCTGTTCTGCACAGAAATGCTCGCTACAATTGCCGAGTGATCTTTTTAAATAAGTAAGTTGTGAGGTAACACATAAGTGTATGGTTTAAGAGAATCTATTTGGCCTTCAAGAAAGATTTTTTCAGTGCTATGTAGAGTGATGGATTTGTCTTCTGATTTGATACATTTTGAGAGGGACARCTAAGGTTTTTCATTATCTCCTTTTCTGAATTTGTAGGAACTAAATTCCCACTGCTTTCTGAAAGAGTTCAGGAAAACCCCTTGACTCTGCAATCAGAACCTTTAAAAATGTTACATTATAATAGAAAAAAAAGGGGTGATCTTAGTCAGTGTTCATACAGCCTTGTTTGGCTGTACATCAGGTCTTAACGCAGCTTTTCTGTTTTGTRTTCTGATTTAAGGAAGATTCTTCTGATCAGACCAAAAATATCGCTGGCAAATGCGGGAAACTACAGGGAACTGAGATGGTTTACTCCATGGAGCAAAGCAAGGTATGSTGGCAACTGTTAAAATCGGGTTAAAACACACAGCTTGCTGTTTGCAGCTGCAGAAGCAGCAGGGTTGAAATACCTGCAGCAAATCATCAGTGCTGCTASAGGGAGAGCAGGAAGACTGAGTCAGCCAAGCTAAGCAGTTACAGCTCTGTTAGAAAGGTTGTTGAGCAGTCAAACTCTTGAGTTGCTGAGCTGGAAGGAGAAGTGGGGCTGTGTGATCCTGCAGCCAGTGTGAGGTGTCATTTGCTGGTGTTTGCTTTCTAAAAACATCCAGTGCAGGACTGGAAGGGGCTGTGCTTACCTGCTCAGTTGCTGTATCCACTAACTGGCAAACCTGGACATGGATGAGCTCTGTCAGAATATTGACAAATGCAGAGAATAAAAGCTGCCTGCCTTGTGATGCTGCAGAAAGTGCCTGGCACTCATCTCTCATGCTGTGCACTCATCCTGAGGTTGGGAATGCCTCCAATTTGAGGGTCGTAGTAAAGCACTTCCAGTCTGTCCTCTGATTCCCAGACAGTTCTGAGTTGCTCACACARTAATGCTGCAAAAAGAGAAACTTCCACCTGGTATTTGACTTGCAGGGTGTGTTCTTTGTTCAGTTTGGTTTCCAGCTAGGATGGAGCATTGCTTACCCTGTCTTTCTGAAGCACGGATGTTGCTGTTTTATAATCTCAGCATTTCTGATTAATTCCACAGAAAGTATGAAGGTCTTCTTTCACTTTTTAAACACACACAGCCCTGTACAACTTCAATATAGTTTGTTTAGTCAACATTAGAAGGTGAGATGAGAACTGTTTTTTATGCTGTGATTCATGTAATGATGTATTCACGATCTATAAACTTGCTTTAGGCATGTGGAGGAGTATTTTCTACCCAGGATAATTCAGGAAGTGACTGGACAGGTAAGTTTATTTTTCAACACTAGCATCTTCCAGATTCAGCCTTTGAAAACTGTAGTCCCCAAAAATGTGCTGCCAGTCATGTTTTAGATTTATATGTTTTAGTGGTGGTTCTAAGTTACATTAAATGAGACTATAATTTAGCCTTATTTTTTTTAGGGTATGGCAGCAAGGCAAGTAAATTTTGAATCTGTCTCAGTTATTTGTACATACAAAACCTTGATTGCCCTATTTTGCACAATTCTGGAGATAAAATGAGTTTATCTGTGCTTGAGACTAGAATTGAGTATGTATTTTTAGGTAAAAAAAAGGTAAAAAAATTTAAACCTTCTTAATTCAGAAGGATCTAAAATTTAGGTTAGTTCCCACTAAAGCATAAGCGTGATTCCTAGCATCAGGCAGTCTCTGTTTTGTAGATTAATTCCTGKCCTTAAACAAAGCACTGGATCTGAATGTTGCTGAAATTAAAACACAAAATTTTAATCAGTCCAGAAATATGCATTTCAGAGATTTTTTTTTTTACTCAGACTTGGTATGAAATGAAGAAAGGTATAATGTGATTGATGTTGTGTCCCTAATTTCACATATGTGAGCATTCAATTTTTATATTTTCTTAAGATTTATAGTTTAAGTTTCTGAGCTGAATAGATTCTTCTACTTCATGTGTATAAGCATGTTCTTGTTTTTCCTMAGGAAACTGTTCCTTTTGGGGATGCAGTGCTAGCAACCAAAGATACCTGCCTAGGGGCAGAAATATGTGAAGAACTCTGGGCACCAAACAGGTAAAGGGGAAGAAGAAATAAAAAGTAAAATATAACAAATACATTTTGAAAAGATCTGCTTATTATTCTTTATGTAATTTATGTTTCAGAAAGTGCCCATAAGATAAAATGTAATTAGAAGTAATAAATACATCAGGGGAAAGACCTCACTAGGCTAAGTGCAGGATGACAAAGAAATGTAGGTGGTTAAGCTAATCACTTTGAAACAGAACGTAGGAGAGAAATATCAAAAAAAAAAGCCAAATGAAAAGAGTGATTTAAGGAAATACATGACAGGTAACTCTAATGCTCACGTTTGATATTTTTTCAAATCTCCCAGTTACATTAATTTCCTTGTATTTGCAGAAGGTGTGGTGTGTCAAAGATGTGATTTTTTTTTTTTTTAGTATTTCTTTCTTGGAAACTGGAAAAAGAAAAAAAAAACCTAAAACTCTTCTCCTTGTGGTTCTGTTTTTGTATTTACTAAGACATGCAAAATGGGGCAGTTCATCCTTGCAGTGTATGTCCATATTGCCCCTTCAGGCCAGGATTATATTATTCTCTCTTTCTTTGGAATCTGGGTTTCTATAGACTAGAAGGCATTTCATTTAAAACAGAATGAACAAAAGCCCTCCTGACCGCTGCAGCCACTGCTGGTCTTTGACAAAAGAATTGGGCAATGCAAGAAAACAGATTATTTTTGAAAGCCTTATCCTCATTTGAGCTAAAGCATGCAGAAAAATGACAATGATGTCTATTTTTCTGTTTGTCAGTGATTTTTAGTGACATTTGCAGTTTTCACAGCACAGTAGTGCCAGCTGATTTATTTTCGTGCCTTTTGCTTTGACAGCCCTCACATTGAGATGGGACTTGATGGTGTGGAAATTTTCACCAACTCTTCTGGGAGTCACCAYGTCCTGCGGAAGGCTCATGCCCGGGTGGATCTAGTGAACTCTGCCACTGCAAAGGTGTACATATTCTACTTCAAAAGTTCTGTTTGTTTTCAAAATGAGAAGACATTAAGTAATTGGACTGTAATCCTATCTAACAGTGATGGGAACAAAAATAAAGCAATGAGTGTGCATTGCACTGTGGAAAATGTACAGCTGCTTTGTCACTGTATTTTAACATGCTTTGCTTATATTTAACAGTATCTGCTCTGTCCTCAGATATCCAAACACAGCTTCTGTCATCACCTTCCYGCTTTTCCCAACTTCAATTTGAACTCAGAATTTCAATTTAAAAGTACAGCTCTCTCTGTTTGGGTTGAGGGAATGACTCATGCTACTAATAGACTCCTGTCAAGACAGAGTCCCATCCATAAATCATTTACARTATAAAGGGAGAGGAAGTTTGTAAGAAGGGCAGGAACGGAGAAATAACATTTTGATTTTTAGGATCCTGTCAGATTCCTTACAGCCTTTTTTTCCCCTCTCCATGTTTATTTCCTTGGCAGAATGGTGGAATATATATTTTAGCCAACCAGAAAGGCTGTGATGGTGATCGTCTSTATTACGATGGCTGTGCCATGATTTCCATGAATGGAGAAACAGTTGCACAAGGATCCCAGTTTTCACTCGATGATGTGGTAATATATGCACCCTATAGCTGCTAGTACATTTATGCACAACACTTCCCAGACATTCTGCACTCTAGGTGTATGTCTCTAGACTAAAAAGGGTGTTTAATAAAAGGGTTTAATTATGCYATTCAACTAGATCCAAGTTTTTCCTGGTCAGATTACCTACAGTAGCTCTCCTGCTTTTGTGAGGGAGGAAGAACTGTTGCAGTGAAACTTCATGAAAACATTTGTGTATGCAATCACCATAAGGAGGAAAGACCCTGTTAATTTGGATTCCCTTATCTACAGGTTAAAAAGGCAGAGACTGGGATGTTCTAATTATGACCCAGTTTTGTAGACAAAAAGTTTCACTGTGACTTCAGAAAAAAGTAGATTTGTCATCTAGGTTTCCTCACATTGTGTGCCAGATCCATCTCCTTCCCCGGTATGTTTTCTTGTCTCTTCCTTTGCCATAGCTGATGCTGAACCTTTTGCCAAACATTGTTTATCCGTTTGTGTAGAGTGATCTAATGTTGAAAGYCTTTCCTTAGGAGGTGCTGGTTGCCACTCTGGACCTGGAGGATGTTCGAAGTTACAGAGCAGAGATTTCATCTTGTAACTTGGCGGTGAGAATTTTTTAGGAAGGTTGAGTTTCTAAACTCTGCCATGTTTGAATGACTATTGAATATAAAAAGTGTTTGCATGTCTTGATTTTCACAGTATTCTATAGAGCTGACAGATACATTAGATCTGACGTTACATTAAAATTGATGTCTTCTGAATTCTTCTGTACTGTTGCTTAGGCAAGTAAAGTGAATCCTTATCCCAGGRTAAAAGTGAATTTTGCTCTGTCGTGTCCTGATGATATAGATGTTCCTACTTGTATGCCAATCCAGTGGAGACATCACAGTCCTGAGGAAGAGATCAGGTAATCAAACACTGAATCTGTTGCTTGAAAATTATTTTGATTTAAAAGAAAAACCCAACCAAAAAACAAACTGAATTAGTTTAAAATCTTTACTAGATTTAAGTAAAGAAAGCCTGTCTTTGGAAGACTACAGTAAATATGTTGACTTGCTTAGGTATTATTCCCTAACCTTAGAACAACCATGTTCTGTATTTTCAGCCTTGGACCTGCATGTTGGCTCTGGGACTATTTAAGACGCAGCAAACAGGTAAGAACAACTGGGTTTGTTTTTCCCTTGGCATACACAGCTTCTTTTGTGCCACAGGGACAGTTCAAGTTGTCRTCCTATGCTAATTTGAGTTTTTCACTGGTAGCTCATTCAGGTTTAAAAATTGTATTTCAGGTGTGACTTTAGTATCCTCTGTGCACCTTTCCCTTAGGAATTGTGCTTTCTTGAGTGAAGCAGAGTGACATGAAGAAGTAATTCAGTGTAATAGTGAAGTATATGTATTAGCTTTTTTATCTATCTATTAGAAGGTGAAGGCAGCTGGAACTTTTTCCAGCCATAGGGTCAGCCACACTGACTACTTGTTTGATTATCCATCTAATGAGAGTTTAAGAGGATTTGCTCTAGGTGGTTTGTTCTGTTTTTGCCCAATAGGATATAAACAGACTTGAACAATACACCTGTCATTTTTCTACAAGAGTGTGTTTCTGAGTGGTACAATACATACTTTTTGCTAAGTTTGCTATGTGGAACCTTTTCCTTGCTCTCTTTTCAAGGCAGGATTTCTCCTACCTCTGAGTGGTGGAATTGACAGCTCTGCTACAGCTTGYATAGTGTACTCCATGTGTCACCAGGTTTGCTTGGCAGTCAAGAATGGCAGTAAGTAGATCTGTGTCTGGCCAGTTGTGTTAACTAATGCTTATAGACAAGTTAATACTAGCTGGATGCACTAGCTGTGACAGCTCATCAATGGCAGATGTTTCCTGTTGTTCTAAAGGAGACCTTTGTATATCTTCAGAAATTCYAGCAAAAATGTGTGTCCAGATTCTTAAATCCAATTCATTTTGGGTTTAAGCATTGGATGTGGRACTCAGAATAGTGTCTCTCTAGAGTATTGTTCAAATGTTGGCTGATGTAGTTCTCTGTTTATTTGGAAAATTTCTTACTTCTATTACAATCAGCACTAGAAAGCATGGTTMGGAATGGTTGAAGTTCTTAGACTGGCTTTAAGCAGACTTTATGCTTTTTAGCTAAGTCTTTGCACATACTGGATTGTGTTTTCTATGAAAATTCTTTAAYAGATCAAAAGGATTTAATATTTCTGTGCTCAAAATTAGGAGYAAAATCAGTAATTCTTTTATTTGCTAGATGAAAGGGTTTTTTGGGAATTAGATGATGGAGTCATCTTACTTTTGAGGGGCAATGTAAAGCTTAATTGGAATACAAGGGTTGTACAAGATATTTGCAAATCCTGGGTAGGAGGAGCACAATAATTTCCACTCTTGTGCTGTTTCTCTTGCTATGTCCTCAGATGCAGATGTGCTGGCTGATGCACGCAGGATTGTGAATGATGAGGCCTACATCCCTGAGGATCCTCGGGAATTCTGCAAGCGTGTCTTCACCACGTGCTACATGGCTAGTGAGAACTCCTCCCAGGATACCTGCCACAGGGCTAAACTGCTGGCTGAGCAAATAGGCAGGTACAAGCTGAGAAGTGCTGGGGAAAAAAACCCCGTTCTGCAAAGACTTCTAAAACTTTCAAACTCTACAATGGGAAAAAATTAGAGAGGAATAGGAGGTGGTTTAAGTGGGAATATTACAGATTCTATTATTTMTGTGTTAATGTGAGGCAAACTTAGAAGCGTTTGGTAAAGGATGTGGTATTTTGGAAACMGACTCTGAAAAGTGTTATTCTTTCCTAAATTTCTTCATAACAGACCTGAGATTATAGCMGCCTTAAAACCTCATTTGATGGGTGGATTTTTGTTGTTATTTTTTTAAACACTATTTTATACCGTCAGATTGTGCCAGTTGGGTCACTTGTGCTTGAATTCTTCTCAGCTACCACATCAACCTGAACATCGATGTGGCTGTGAAAGCTGTTGTGGGCATTTTCTGTGTGGTGACAGGTCGAACTCCCCGCTTTTCTGTCCATGGAGGGAGCAGCAGAGAGAGCCTGGCACTCCAGAATGTGCAGGTGTGTGCCCTGTGGGTGAATCAGGTCAGATACTTTTGGTTGTGTGGGKTTTTTTTTAGAGAATACAAAATGRTAAAGTACCAACCTGAACTTGTGGTATGTCCAAGATTCATGRGCTTCCAGTAAATGCTTGTCTGCAGCAGAAATCTACAGTCTCACATAACTCATATGTGAATATGAATAAGATAATTATGGTTTGTGACTTCCATAGGATAGTCAGGAAGGAATAGTACGTGATTGTATCCCATCAGTAGCACTGGTCTAGGCTTTCTAGAAAAGWATCCCAAGAGAAAAGTTGCCAGGTCAGGGCAAGTCTGAATCCTGTAAGATTGTGTCAGGTCAAGACCCCAAAGTATTGCTGATGTACACTCACCTCTGGTGAATGTTAGCAGCCTTTAAAAGGCTCTGAGGGGAGATATTAAGTTTATCCATTTCAATTCTGAGATGTTCCCACCTGTAGAAGGTAGAAGAGATTTTTTTTTTTTTTTGTATCAGGTGTTTAGTCTTCATTAGGCCTACTCTGGGCTATTCTTAAAAGCTTCCAGCCTAATCAGCAACTCTGCTTTACTTGTAAATGTTGGTTACCCTATTTGTTAGTTTTTGTTAATTCAAGGACTTGATCTTTCCTCCTCTGTTACTGGAGAAATCCAGCTGTCTCCTCTGGAAGCAAACATCGGATCCTTTATCAGCTTTTTGGCAACAGGAGAGGCTTTAGTCACACGGGAGTTGTGGGTATTTGCTTAACATCACCCATGATTATGTCTGGAGCTGGAGGCTGGATCTCAGCTTTGTTTGGTACTACTGCCATCCTCAGAAAAAGCTGAGTTTCAGAATGGAGACAAAAGCAAAGTGAACTTTTTGTAAATGATTTGTATCAGACTAAAGGGGTTTATTTACTCGATAAAATGGGAATGGTTTATCTGCATACTTCATCCCTCATGGATCCTTATTAGTGCTTGTAGGAGATAGAAAATGGCAACTACTCCYCAGTTTGCAGTTCAGACCAGGAGAAACTTGCTCAGTCACTTAAGTCTGCAGCAGTAGCAGATACTGAACSTGGCTTTCCTAAGGGTGTTCAGCATCTTCTTCACAAGATCATCCTTCTTACAGTCACACCCTGCCCACATTTTGTTCTTCATGAGTTTGTTTAGACAATTGATTAACAAAAGTGATTGGGGAGAAACGAACCTGCTTTGTAAATTTTGCTTTCTTTTTCATTTTGCTTTGCAGGCTAGAGTAAGAATGGTCCTTGCCTACCTGTTTGCTCAGCTGACACTGTGGGCTCGTGGGATGCCAGGGGGACTGCTGGTACTGGGATCAGCCAATGTGGATGAAAGGTTGGTGAAAATCAAGAATTCAAACCCAGGTGGCAAGGCCACTATCATTTCCTTGCAATTCTACCCAGTGTAGATTATTACTCAGAAGAGCTAATAACCTAAGAATACACTGGTAAACAGTGAAATTAATGCAAATAGTTGAGTCAGCCTTAATGGAGAATGGTGTGTTTTTCAGAAGGTTAGCCAAAGTATTGCTATAGCGTTCCCAAAAAGTACGCTTTTCAGTAGAGCTTACTTGTTCATTCACTAGGCAAGCTTCCCAATTTATTGTATTTCCAATTACTGTATTAGGAATTAAGATTTGAACTTGGAGCTGAAAAGCAGACTTTACAGTTTGGAGTACTGTTACTACAGCTGAGTAATCGAAGGTTAAAGCAATCCTTGTAAGACTTTGGGACTGGTAGCTTCCAAAGCTGTGAGAGTACYGTGGGCTGGTTCTGTGGGTGTTTTGAGATTTATTGTTAATTGGTYAGCAGTGTATTTTAATTGTTTTGCACATATTGCTTCAGCATGGACGGTTTTGCAGTGCTTTACAATTGTTTAAAGTATCATCTTTTGGAAATCTCAAGGCTTTAGGGTATCTACATTTAAACATATTTAACTGTTGCAGTTTGCCCTTTAGGTGTAAATATGTTACCAATCTGCAGTCTTTTTCTCCCTTTCTTTATGCCTCAGGTAAATTCTCTATAGTGTCAAGGATTATATATTATGCTGCAGTTACATTATTATTTACTGTTGCTGTATAAAATTTCCTGTCTTGCTCAGTCTCCGTGGTTACTTGACCAAGTATGACTGCTCCAGTGCTGATATCAATCCCATTGGTGGCATCAGCAAGAYTGATTTGAAGAACTTCATTCAATATTGCATCGAAAACTTCCAGCTGACAGCCCTCAGAAGGTGAGCAATGGAGCAGTGATTCAGTGATTGTGTTTGTTCATTCCACTGGAGGAACTGTTTGAGCCAGATGCTTTGKTTTTGGGATGAAGCACTGTTTTAACAAACCAGCACTCATAAGACTGCAGAGAATCCATGTTTTTCCTTTTCCCTCTCCCTTGCAGTATCATGTCAGCCCCACCCACCGCRGAGTTGGAGCCCCTGGTGGATGGACAAGTGGCTCAAACTGATGAGGTAATGATGGGCAGTGCCTTTAAAATGCTCTGGTAAGCCTTATCCCAAAATCTGGGTTTTGCCCTGTAACTGTTGTGTGCTCTTGTATGTATCCATGCTTATTGACAAACTTGTTATAAAGTCTTAAAGCTTCCAACAAGGCATTCGTTTCCCACACCTGCCCTACCCGTGTTGACAATAGTTTCCGAAACAGCAAATWAACATTTTTGAATGATTTTACATTTTTTGGACACTTAAAAGGATGGGATGTTGTGAAATGCAGTTTATATAAGGTTTTTCAAAATAAAAAGAAAGTCTATGAAATTGTTGTGAAAATGACTTGTGTCAAAGGCCTTCCTCTTCTCCCACACCCTACTCTTTGCTATCCCTTTGGAAAAGAAAGGACTGATAAAACAACCTCTAAGGGCTCAAATGTCCCCATTTAGAGAGATTCCAGTGATTTTTTTTATTTCAGCTCATAGTATTACCATGTCTTTTTGACATTGACAACTTCATTTTGGTGTTTCTTTGATAAAGCTATTATAAAGTTATAAAGTTATTTTAATTGCACATAAAATTAATAATTAAAATTTGCATAGTTAAGATTTTCAGTGACTTTCTGTGTGTATGTGTGTGTTTTCAGGCAGATATGGGGATGACATATGCAGAGCTCTCAATCTATGGGAAATTAAGGAAAATGGGAAAGGCTGGACCATACAGTATGTTTTGTAAGCTGATTAATATGTGGAAGGAAATTTGTACTCCAAGAGAGGTAATATATCAAAGAGAAAAAAATATCAAATAGTTAAATGTTTTTGCTAAAATAGAGTATGTTTGGAGAAACTGAAAGGAATAGTTTCATTATTTTGTATTCAGAGATTATTSTACAGCTGCAGCAGAATATGCTGGGAAAGCTGGTCTGCATATCTTAGCTGGAGCTTGTTGTCTTGTATTGCAAATTGTTGAAACAGTAATTGGGTAATTTGAGAACAATTACTTCAGAACTACACCTCGGGGAAAATTGTTCTCTGAAATATGCATGACCAACTACTCTTAAAGCCCTTGAGTATGTATTGTAAGACCAAAAAATGCTTTCAAAGAATATCTACACTATGTAAAAGTGGAAAATAGTCTCCAAAGTCTCCTTTAATTTGTTTAAATACTAAGAAACTTCATCTGATTGAAAGCTATATTCTTTGTACACCAGGTGGCATCCAAGGTCAAGCATTTCTTCAGGATGTATTCAATAAACAGGCACAAAATGACCACCCTCACTCCTTCCTACCATGCTGAAAACTACAGCCCGGATGACAACCGATTTGACCTGAGGCCTTTCCTCTACAACACCTCATGGTCCTGGCAGTTCAGGTGTATAGATAAACAGGTAAATGCCCTCTGCTTCTGCTTTGGTTTTGTATTTAAAATCCTCACAGTGCGTCAAGACTAGTTCCAGTGAATCTCCAGCAAGACAACTAGCCTCTACAGAAATAACTGTGATTGTTCTTTTCAACTGTCAGGCTAAATCCTTTAATTTCAGTATAGGCTGTTTGTGTTCTTTTTTAATTGTCATACTGCTATGAAAACTAGAAAAAGTAAAAGAAAATATGCACTGAGATCAGAAACTAATAGGTGTACCCAAGCTCATGGAGTCCTGTGCTCCCGTGGGAAAGACAAGCTTTTGTGTTTTGGTTTCAGTTAAGGATCTGTCTGAAGGGATCTGCTAAATTGGAGAATTAAGATTTGACTTACATTAGCGTGARGAAAGCCAGTAAGAGGCAGCAGTTCACTGTGAGTGCTTCTCCCACCTGCTTCTGCAACAATTTCTTTTTTGAACTTATTAGTTGACTCACAAATACATGTTTGCTCAAACACAGCAGCAGTAATGAGCATTGTGARGTGGGGAGGGGCTCAGGCAATTATTGGAACCATGCTTAAATTTTTGTAGTTTTTAGCCACCCCTTCAAACTTATTTTAATGTCTCTTTTATGGCTAAAGTGCTGGGGTGAAGAATTTTAGCACCTTGAAGTGCCAGAGAKTTTACACCCCAATTGCTTTTAAGAATATGTTTATATATGTAATAAAATATTAATACCTTTGTCTGCGAAATGCCAGACATGTTGTCATAATGTTTTACTAYCTTGAAACCTGGGATAAAAACTACCATGTGCAGTACCATATTGTAAGTCTGTATGGTGGGGGGTTTTCTACATAATTTTTGACTTTTTCCCTCTGAAGTACAGGACAAAAGTTCTTCTGGCCTCAGTAGGAGTAAGATAAAATGTTTTTGTAGGGTCTGGACTGAACTGTAATTACTTTATGGTTACAATAAATGTAATTAAGATCTTTTAATGATGTAGTATATTGTTACACTCTTTAACTAGATTTGTGTGTAATAGCAGTTGTGCTATGCAAGTGTAGTGGCYATTGCAACTTATTCCTGGAAACTGGGAATCAAGTTTGGGCAAGATTTTACTGTGGAGGCAACAGTTACCTAAACTGATAACTCTTACAGCTCTTTGCAAGATTGCAAAATAATAACTTGCAATGGTGTGAGTCAAATCTGCCCTATTGAAGAAAAGGAGTACAGGAAGAGTTTCCTCTTATTGTGGGTGTTCAGCTCAATGGTAATTCTGAAGACAGTCACTCTAGGACAGTGTCTCACTGATGATTCTGCTCCTGGGACTCAATCTGCACTTAAGATTTTTGTGGCTTAGCAACAGGACAGCATAAATTTAATATAAAACCCACATTTAGTTAGGTAATGCCATCGGAGAGTCATGTTACAGCTCAAGATCATTTGTAAAKGGAAACAATTTAGGTGCTAATGATAGAGAAGTCTGTTGGATTTGTGACAAGTGCTTCTCTGCTTTGCATGTCTGTAGTGTAGTCAAGCCAGTTTAGTTATCCACTCATTTTTAGTGCAAAATTCCCTTTGTATTTAACGTAGAAAGAACAGGGGTTAAAGAAAGTTGAGATCATAGTATTTCCTGGGAATGCCAGCTTTGCTCTTGGAATCTTAATGTCATTTATCTTTACCTGGCCGAGAGGCTTTAGAGTAGTCCTAGGACCTCCAGGAGCACCATCTGTAGCTTCTGCCTTGGAGTTGTGTCTGATGTAAAGGATTTGTTGTCAGAGCATGCACTTCTAGGTGCCAAAATGTTCACTGGGATTTTACTAGCTGCCATAATTTGAAGGGACTGTGGTGCAGCTCAGAAGAAGGCTGGTACATCGACCCCCAAGGATGAGATATCTGTAGGCTGTCTTCTGCTTTTTCCAGTATCATGCCACAAGATTAGCTGCATATGGTCAAATCAAAAGATTTATCCACTTCATAAAAATCTGATCTTTGTGTGTCTCTTCCACAACCAGTAGCAGATATTGATGAAAGAGCAAGCTTATTTTTACTGTTGGTTTCTTTTTTACTTACAGGTATCCAAGCTAGAAAAAAAGGAAGGAATTTCTGTAGTTGAAGACGTGGACTGACTTCCTGTCTTGCTTAACTGTGGTAATTCATTTGCCAAAAAATGTTTTCAACTGGATTATACTGTGACAATGAGGAGGGATGACCTGCTCAAGACTTGTTGTATAGGAGGGATGACCTGCTCAAGACATTGTATACTCAATTTTTTTTTAATTGACTCCTTGTTTTACTCTCAATATACTTAAACTGTTCTTTGGCTAAGTAATCATTTATTAAGGATTTTCTTCAACTRTTTGAGTTAATTGCCTTTAATTTAAAATATTTGGATAAATCCATCATAAATAAATCCATGGTAGTCTTCTGTTGGTTCTGATGATTTGGCTTTGACTTTTGAGTAACATTCAGATGAATGTGTAAAATTTTAACAGTTCTAGCATGTGCTGTTGAGTGGAAAAACTCACCTTACAATGCAATAAACTTGTAATTTTGTCATGCTAATTGACTGAGTTCTTATTTTACATGATTTTTATTTACCTAGCACTGSCTTTGTAGACTAGTCCAGCGTTTTGAATGGCCTCAAGGTCTAATTCAGCAAGGTATTGGAAGCATGTTTATCTTGAAGCAGATGGGTAATCTCCATGTTAGATTAGAGTTAATTAGAGTAAATTAGGGTTCAGCTTCTTGTTTTATTTGAATATTGCAGAGTGCAGTATAAAACCAGCACCCTCTGAGCTCAGAGTATTACCCACATGCCACCTACAGTTTGCAAAAACCTTATTTTCAACTTCATGACTTCAACTGCTGTTTTCAATGTGGTCAGCRCTGTGGAGCAATAAAAAATGATAGGCTTGTTCCTTTGCTTGAGTGCCTTTTTTTCCTTTTTATTTGATATTTAGCTCTGTCAATTTATTTTTTAAACCTTGATTTGAAAGGTGCACTTTTAATAGGGAAWACTAGAAATGCATTTCTGCAGTTCTGGGCAAACAGCACTCTAACTGCAACAACAGGAGAGCTTAGACACAGTGAGACTTCTGTTAAAATACTCTTACTTTATGCTAGTGGAAAATGTCTGTTAAAGGGCACATTCTCCACAATTGTTCTCCACAACTCAGGAATTGATTCATTTGAGGTTAAAGATGCTGCACTGTTCATTGTGTTTGTTACATGTTATGAATTTAATGCATAGCCAACTTAATGGGTGCTGCTGGTACGAAGAATGGAAAACCCCAGCTTAGATTTGCCTTCCTTCAGTTGGGCACTTCCGCTTCCCATTACAGCCAGAGGAAATGAGTGAATTTTGAACAGAAGTTCAAGAATTCATTGTGTATTTGAAGGCTTCTTATTTCTTTTCTTTTCCTCTGGAAGTTACTGGTTTCTCTTTCTTGGCAATCACAGAAGAGGAAAGAGGAAATATTTGCTTTCATTCAAATAAAATATAATGGCACGAAAATACAATATTTGCATACATTTCCTGTTAATGTTACTCTGACTATTTGAGACACTTGGTGAMAGAAAACTTGTCTCTCTCAGCACTGGCATTTACAGCACATGTACAAATTGCATTTTATTTCTTGCCTACTCATGCTAAATAYGGATTGTAACAGGCCACCCCTATTTTCCTTTTACTACCCAGAAACTTAAAGTGTCTGTTCCATCTGATGCCTCTATTTCAGCAGTCATCTGCAGTAACTGAAATTTTATCAGTGCACTGTTGCCAACTGAGAATGGAAATAATTCCAATGTGTAGCTGCTATGTTCACTTTTTACTGGAGACAGCTTGTATTGGGTTTGTTTGGCCACATTTTGGGGGAGGCAGCTACAGGGGTGGATTCTTTGAGAAGCTGCTGGAAGTTTCCCCCCATGTCCAGCAGAGCCAATCCCAGCCAGCTCCAGGATGAACTTGGCACTGGCCAGGGCCAAGACAATCAGTGATGGGAAAAATGATGCTGATAACATATTTAAGATGACAAAAAAATTACTGCACAGAGGTAATTGTGGCCAGAGAAAAGAGTGAGAATGTGGGAGAGGAACAACTCTGCTGCCACCCAGGTCAGTGCAGAAGGAGGGCAGGAGCTGCTCCACATGCCAGAGCTGAGACTCCCCTGCAGCCCCTGGTGAGACAGCTGTGCCCCTGCAGCACTGGAGATCCATGGGGATGCACAGATCCAACTGCAGCCCATGGAAGAGCCCACACCAGGGCAAGTGGATGCTCAAAGGAGTCTCTGATTCTGTGGGAAGCCCATGCTGGAGCAGGGTCCTGGCAGGGACCTGCAGACCTCTGGAGAGAGGAGCCCATGCTAGAGCAGAGTCCTGGTAGGATGCGTGGCACTGTGAGGAACCGTCAGTGGAGCAGGCTGTTCCTGAAGAACTGCAGCCCATGGGAAGGACTCGTGTTGAAAAAGATTTTGGACAACAGGTCTGTGTGGGAGGGAAGTCTGTGTGGGACTTCCCTCCAGAAGGAGGGAAAGGGTTACTTGCCCTGAGGAGGAAGTAGTGGCAGAAACAACATGAACTGTAGTATCCCTATTCCACGTTTCCCCATGTCACTGAGGGAGAGAGGGTAGAGAATTGGGAATAAATTTAAACCCAGGAAAAAAGGAGGGGTAGGGCAAAGGTGTTTTTAGGATTTTTCTTCTCACTATCCCACCCTGATATGATTGGCAATAAATAATTCTGCTATGTCAAGTCTGTTTTGCCTGTGATGGTATTCAGTGAGTGATCTCTCCTTGCCCTTATCTCAATTCATATTTCCATGTCCAGCTGAGGAGGAGAGCGATGGAACAGCCCAGGTCCATCCACCAAACACCCATGGTGGTAAAGATAACATTGTGGGGTTTTCTTTTTTATCTTCAGCTGGATCTTACCCTGACTTATTTAGAAGTCAGTGTTAAACTGATATTTGACCCATCAGTGGTGCAGCTGAAAGCAAAAGCTACTCCMTTGCTCTTTATCAAACATATAAAATTACGTGTTCCTTTCCTGAGTTAAATAAAGGTGGCCCACAGAGACCAGTAATTTTTTTTGTCATTTGGCTGAATTTGTGACACTTCATAACTCTGAGCCTCATGTTTGTCAGCTCCCTGAAAGAGAGCTGGCCCATGGCAACACCATTGTCCACGGTGAACATTGCTCCCTGGTCCATGATTTTATTTGTTATTCAGTTAGTTCTTACACTTAAGAGTTACCTTCTAACAGTCTGAGTTTGACTAGGAGATGTGTAAAATACTCACCGTTGAGCACCTAGTTTGATAAACAACATTCTTTATAAAGAATGTAGGATGGGTCTACATTTTCTACTCAGGTTGGAATTTTAAAATGAAGGATTGATACACTCTCGTGTTTTATCATTATGCTGCCATAGATCCCAGTTTGTGGCAGAAAAGTGTTGTCAAATTTTCCTGACATGTCTTTTGAAACTGCAGCTTCATGAAACTGAACAGTGGAAAAGGTGTGTGAAGGGGACCACGAGAAAAGGGTGCGAGTAATTCAACTGAAGCTTCTTTCGGCAGCAAAAGCAACATGAGTGAAGTTCACAGCTGCATATGGAATGCCCAGGTGATTGAATACAAATTAAATTTTCTGCGACTAGGGATGTAAATGGTTATTCAGGACTGTGAGTATAACCGGGAAGTGGTAATTTCTCGTCTCACGGCCCCGCAGTTGCCCTCAGGTGCCCAGCCATGAGCCTGCAGCTGCCGTGAGACAACAAAGCCTCAACTTCTCATGAGGGATACATTTCTTAATCCGTAAATGGCGTGTGGAATCCCCCCTCGTTAAGTTCAGGTGAAAGCCCGACACTTTTCCACCGCACACCAGCACGTCCCCCATCGCCTCAGGAGCCCGCTGGGCGCAGGCGGGGCGGGCAATGGCGCCCTGGGGCCGGGAGCCGCTGACACGGCCGTGCCGCCCATCCCTCAGCCGATCACATGCGGCGGGCGGAGCCGCCCGGGGCGGGCTCAGCTTCACTCCCGTCCCGCCTGCGGTCCCTCCTCTCCTCTCCCCTCCCCTCCCGCTCGGTCCTGCCCGCCGGAGCCCGGCGCTCGGCGGTGCGGATGGAGGCCGGCGCTGAGGCGGAGCCGCTGTTGCCCCCGCGGCGCTGGCGGGCGGGCCGGGGGCTGTGGCGGGGCCGCGGTGGTGCCCGCTCTGCCGCTGAGGATGGTGAGTGCCCGGGGTGCTGGAGCGGGTGGAGCAGGAGGGCAGAAAGGGCAGAAAGAGCAGAAAACCTCCCGGGCTGCCCATGGGCTCGGCCGCCCKGCTCCCGGCAGCTCCGGCGGGCTCGGCTCCCAGGGAGCCGCTAGCGCTGGGCTCTGCTTCTCGCTGTGCGCTGCTGCTGCTGCAGCCCCAGCCGCTCTTAGTTCCTTATGTAATTTAGAGCTTTTCTCTAAAGTGCTGACAAGTTTTTCTCCAACCTGGTGTCTGTCGTAGGTCTGACATCTCAGTTCCCCCAGGGTGGAATACTTTGGAGACCTCAGGTTCTCTTTTCTCAGGGTATTGATCACCTGAGGGAACTTTGGCTTTTCGTTGCTCGTTTGTGCAGTGYCAGAAGTGCAGCGGGGGTCTCGGGTGGATCTTGTGTGCCCAAACAGAGCAGTGCTTTTTAATCATCACTTGTGACTAAGCGTCACTTACTGTGACTAAGGGTTGCAGAATAAGTTGGATATCCATGGTAGAATGTATGGAGGAATTGCTAAAGTAAACATTTTTGGCTAATTTCCCTGTTTTATTCATACCATGARCAGTTGCTTAGCTTGTGCCCTTCCAAAATCCTTGGCATCAAYACTAGTGGCTTGCTGTGTGCTTCAGGTACCTAAAGCTTTTGCTGTCCTTGCAATCCATTTGACTAATAGTTCCTTTAAGCAACTTTATTTTTATCTCACTRGTGTGAGATGTCATGAAAAAGATAGTATCTTTACTGCATGAGCCTGGCTTGTCTCRTTTATGCTCAAATCTTTCTTGTGCCATGGTTCATATCAGGATTCGTACAAAACTGTTGTTGCTGATGCTCAGATAAAGTAGACATTTAAAAACCGTTTGCAGTCTTTGTAGGAAATTGATAYTACTGATCATGTGGAACATAAAAATTGTCTGTGACTTCGATCAGTGGTGTTTCTGGTGTTGCTTGGTGTTTGGAGAAGAGCATTGTGCTGGGGTGGACCCTTTCCTGTTGTATCCCAAGTTGTGATTGCTGTTTCCTCAGAGGAGATGGTATGAAGTGCTCCTTTGGACTCTTCCCTTCTGTGGGAAGGTTACACTAGCATATATTTTTCATATCTTGAGTCCCCCTCAGCTTTATACCTTCTTTTTTTTTTTTTTTTTTTTTTT